TCCGGGCACATATCAGGCATTCTCTTACCACTTTCGCAACGTCCTCTGCAAGTCCGGGCCAGTAGAACATGCCGGCTACTCTCTTCCGCGTCTTGAGTACTCCCGCGTGCCCACTGGTGCCATAGTGGAAGTTCAGTACCACTCTCGCTCTCAGTCGCTCCGGGACGTACACCCTGCCAGTCACGGCCTGCCGCCACCACTTGCCATCCTTCTTCACCCCAGGCACTCCTTGCGGCTCCAGCTGCCGGTACTCTCTCATAAAGTCCTCTTCCGACACCTGGTGTCTCCCCAGCAGCTGGCCTACGTGGCCTATCACTCTACCGCCCAAGGCCATTGCCTCGATCTCTGCGTCGCACTCTTCGTCTTCCGCTGCGTACCGCGACAACCAGTCCGCCATGTTATTCTTCTCTCCCGACAGGAACTCTAAGGTGAAGTTGAACCTGCTGAGCGCCAGCGCCCAGCGGAACACCTTCCCTTTGTCTACCCCCACAAGGTAGCGTAGGTTGGCGTAATCTGTGCGTACGGTGAAATGATGGAGCGCTACGTAGTCGCACCACTTCTCTACAGCCCACTTGACGGCGAAGAGCTCCCTCTCTCTCGTATCCCACTTTCTCTCCGCGTCTGTGAACTTCTTGGACGCGAACTGTAACGGGACCTCTCTGCCCTCTTGCGCCTGCTTCAACACCGCGCCAATGCCAACCTCTGAGGCATCTGTTTCGATGACGAGCGGCGCCCCCGGAACCGGCCTGTGGAGAAACGACGCCCCGGCTACCGCCTGCTTCAGCCTCATGAACGCCTCTCCTCGAGCATCTGACCAGACGAACAGCCTGCCCTTCTTGAGCAACTCGAACAGTGGGGCAGTGTACTCGGCGAACCGCGGGATGAAGGGTCGTAGGTACCCAACGGCTCCCAGGAAGCTCTGCAGTTCCTTCCTTGAGGTGGGGGCGGGGGCATTGAGAACGTTACCTATCTTCCTCTCCTGGCACGCTATCCCTTGCCGCCCAATCTTGTGACTTTACTTCGGGCTTGAGCCACTCGCTCTTATCTAGCCTGAGATGGAAGCCTCTCTCTCTGCACAGTCGCAAGACCTTCTCCAGCCGCTGCATCATCTCCGGCACCGTGTCCGTCGCGATGATGATATCATCAATGTAACACAGAGTGCGATCGTCTAGCACCTCCTCGAACACCATGTCCATCGCGCGCTGGAACTCCGCCGGCGAGTTGTTAATCCCAAAGGGGATGACGTTGAA